AACAGGCAAGGCAGTGGAGTAAAAAAAAAAAATTCTTTTTTGCAGCAGATGTAAACAGGGAACAGTACCTGAAGCTGAAGAACGGGCATCCCACCGCCGCTGCACGAAAGCAGGTGGGAGGGGGTGAGCGTGAGACGAAGGGAGGCACTTCACGCAGCAGCTGCCGCCGCTCACCTGGCATTGCCGGGCCCGCTCGTGCGGCTGCTGCGCATCCCAAGACCCAGGCGGTGAGGTCTCCTTGAATGGACGACGACGGGGCGGAATGCGGCGGCGGCGCGGCGACCGCCGCCGGCCGGCGACATGGACGCGTAACGCTTTGGTGGTAAAAAGACGGCGGTGAGGGGTTTGCGCTGAAATCTAGCAGGCTCCCAGTAAAGTTAACTGGGCTGATGAATGAGGAGGCAAAAATATCGATTTGGGCTGAAATGTAGCAGGGATCAATTAAGCTAATTGGGTTGCATATAGAAGAAAATTAAGTTCGAGTTTGCTTCTGCAACACCATGGTTAGCCAGGTTAGACAATGGATGTTGTCGGGCTCAATCATGGTAGGATAACCAGAAAAGAGATTAGTTTTACATTAAAAAAAAGAAAACAAAAGAAAACAAAAGAAAAGAAGATAAGAGAAGAGAGAGTTGTTCGGAGATGCAGCTAGCTGGGAAAACCGCGATGGCATTAGCAGCCAGCAGCCAACCACAGGCCTGTAACTATGAGCGTTGATGATATGCATACGCAGTGGGCAGTGGTGACTCCACAGTGATTTATTTGCACGTAGTTTACATGCCTTCTTGATGCAATAGTTTTGTTTCTTGTCTGGATTGTTGTACTAACCATACCTCAGAATTCAATAACCACCTTTCACAATGCAAGGCGATTGCATCAGGCTGCAACACTGTCTTAAATTTTCATTCAAGCCACGTAATGGCTTACTGAACCGAACAGACAGCAGCAGCAAAAAAGAAAATTATGTAAGTGCAAATAAACAGCAGCAATAGAAATAGTCGCAGCACATAGATAAATAAAGGATAGAATAATGCACATCCTAGAATTGAATGAAGATTGTGTACAAACATACATCGTCTGTCCTTGTAGTTAACAGCAATCATACATGCTGGTCTAAATAAGCACATTGGACGATTAATGGCACAACTGAAACAAATACAAGATGAGTGCTGAACAGGTAGCACCGGATGTCTCCAATAATCCCATTCATGCCCGTGAGAAGGTAAAATGGCAGCGACGAATAAACCAACGAACAAAGATAGCAGTAAGACAAACTAGGCAGCCGCAATCCAGGAGATGCACAATATCTGCACCAACCATATCGATCAAGACCAAATGTCTGTATTGTAAGAAGTAGAATGAGGCCAACCAACTGTATTGCAAGGCCCAAGAGGGCTAGTATACACAATGTACATATGCAAAGAAGCCCTCCAAGTAGAGGAAAAACACATATACCTCCTATACATCTAACACCCCCCCTCAAACTCATGGTGGATCTACAACACTGAGTTTGGAGAGTAGAAATCTATGATGAGCCCGGGTCTGTGCCTTGGTGAAGAAATCAGCTAACTGAACCTCTGAAGGCACATGGTGGAGCGTCACAACCAGATCATGCACATGCGATCTCATGTAGGAAGCATCAACGCCAATGTGTTTGGTGAGCTCATGCTTGACTGGGTCTCGAGCAATACTGATCGCACCGGTGCTGTTAGAAGAGAAAGGAGTGGGTGCAATGGCAGGAACACCAAAATCCTCAAGAAGCCATCGTAGCCATGTCACCTCCGCAGTCACAGTCGTCATAGCACGCAGCTCAGCCTCAACACTCGAGCGGGAAACTGCAGTCTGCTTCTTAGTTTTCCAGGCAATCAAGGAGGAGCCAAGGAAAACACAATGGGCAGAGAGAGTAGCGATCATAATGATCACTCGCCCAGGTCGCATCAGAATACGCCTGAAGCTGAAGAGAACTAGAATGAGAGAAGAAAAGGCGCCGAGAGATAGTTCCACGAAGGTATCGCAGAACACGAAGGAGGTGAGCATAGATATGCACAGAGTGAGAAATGTCAGGACGAGTGATCCCAAGGTAGACAAGACTCCCAACAAGCTGACGATAGCGAGTAGGATCAGCAAGTGGTACACCATCAGTGGGTCGTAGGTGAACACCAAGCTCCATTGGAGTATCAACAGTGCGGTGATCAGTGAGAGCAGCACGGGAAAGAATGTCCTAAGTGTACTTCTCCTGAGAGAGAAAAATACCATCAGATGTGGAGGTGACCTCAAGACCAAGGAAGTAACGAAGGGGACTCAAATCAGACATAAGGAATGTCTCACTGAGACGTTGCTTCACAAAATCAATGTACTGGGAATCATCGCCTGTGATGATCATGTCATCGACATAGAGAAGAAGAAGGGTGCGACCACGAGGGGAAGTGTGAACAAAAAGAGTAGGATCGTGAGCACTTGGCGTAAAACCAGCATCGATGACAACAGAGGAGAAACACTCAAACCAGGCCCGAGGAGCTTGCTTGAGGCCGTAGAGAGAACGGCGCAACCGACAAACCAGGCCATCAGGAACAGAGTATCCTGGAGGTGGCTGCATATAGACTTCCTCTCGCAGCTCGCCATTGAGGAAGGCATTCTTGACATCCAACTGGGATATCGACCACTGACGAACAGAAGCAACTGCAAGAAGAGTGCGAACAGTAGTCATGTGCGCGATAGGAGCGAAGGTCTCCTCATAGTCATGACCTTGCTCCTGTTGGAAGCCGCGCGCCACAAGACGAGCCTTGTAGCGCTCAAGAGAGCCATCCGAGCGGGTCTTTACCTTGTACACCCACTTGCAAGTGATAGGGGTGACGTGAGGTGGCAAAGGAACAAGATCCCAGGTGCTAGTACGTTCTAGGGCAGCAATCTCCTCAGCCATAGCATGTTGCCACTCCTGGTGAACGGCAGCTTCCCGATAGGTCGCGGGCTCAGCCAAGACGGTAGCAGTGAAGCCAAGGCGATTGGGACGACGAAGGGTGCTGCGATCACGAAGAGAATAACGAGGAGGAAACTCGGGAGGAGGTCCAAGGACGGACGGAGAAGAATCAAGTGGTGGCACCTGGGCGCGGACGACGAGTGTAGTAGTGAGTGATCTCACGGGAAGGACACAACGATGATAGTGGAGGAGAGACTGGTGGTGGAGAGGTAGGAGGAGGTGGTGAAGGTGGAGAAGTAGGTGGTGGTGGTGGTGGAGGCAGAGTAAAAGATACCTGAGGGGGCGAAGAGGATGGAGATGACAGCGGAATATACCACTTAGGTAAAGTGAGGAATGAGAGGTACTCAGTGGTACTAGAAGAACCGAAAGGGGAACGAGGATAGTAAGGCCGGGATTCATCGAAGGTGACATCCCGAGAAATCCTCATCCGACGAGCAACAGGGTCATAGCAGCGATAACCCTTATGTTCCGTACTGTACCCAAGAAAAACACACTCAACAGACTGAGCAATGGATTTTGTGCGCTCACGAGGTGGAAATAGGACATAACAGACACACCCAAAACAACGAAGATGGCTATAGGAAGGAGGGGTGCCGAAAAGATGCTCATAGGGAGTGCAACCCCGAAGACAAGTAGAGGGTTGGCAATTTATAAGAAAAACAGCTGTAGAAACCGCCTCAGCCCAAAAATGAGGAGCAAGCATAGAAGAGATCAAGAGAGCACGAGCAGTCTCAAGAGTGTGGCGATGCTTGTGCTCAGCAACACAATTTTGAGCATGAGCACCAGGACATGAAAATTGGGCAAGCGTACCCTGCTCAGCAAGGTAGGAACGATGAGCAGTGGGGATGTACTCACCAGCAGAATCCGCACGAAAAACTCGAATGAGAGAGTTGAACTGGGTACGGATCATGGTGGCAAATTGCTGGTAAATAGAAAGAAATTGACCACGAGAAGACATCAAATAAATCCTGGTAAATCTCGAATAGTCATCAATGAAAATAACATAATATGATTGACCCCCTTTTGAAACAAAAGGTGAAGGACCCCATACATCAGAGTGAACAAGATCAAAAGGTTTCTGGGACTTAGACTCACTAGAAGGGTAGGGGAGTTGCAACTGTTTGCCAAGTTTACAACCCGTACAATGAAGAGTAGTGTCACCAGAAACAGGACCTAAAACACCACTACCAACAAGGGTGGACAATCTAGAACCAAAGAGGTGGCCAAGACGACGATGCCACTACGCAAAAGAAGTGGTAGACGAAGCAGCTGACACGGATGCTGGAGAACTGGGTGATGTGGGAGCCAAAACGGGTGAAGGAAGACGCAACCAATCAAGCTCCCAGAGGCGTTGGGAGTCCCGACACCTAGGCCCAGTTCCCACCAAGAGGCCCATACGGAGATCCTGAACACAACAAGAATTAGACTCAAGGATTATGCGACAGCCATGATCATTGATTTGACCCGCAAACAAGAGTTGCATAGTGAGTTTGGGAACATGCGAAACAGTAGGAATATTAAACGAAGAGGTCGAAAGAACACCTCTCCTAGCAACAGGAAGAGAAGTGCCATCTGCGGTGCGAGCAGAAATAGGTGGATCGGGGGAAGATAGAGAGGATAAGTGTGCTGCATGAGGTGTCATATGAAAAGAGGCACCAGAGTCGAGGAACCATGGGGATGATATACCTGACGAAGGAGGAGCGGAACTAGAAGCCTGAGCTGTAGTCCCGTGACCGGAGGCCTGAGCTGTAGTAGTGAGGCGACGAAACAGGGCAAGAACCTCCTGCTCCGCTGCAGACACGGAACGAGTGCTCTATGAAGTAGAGGAACCACCAGAGCCCTGAAAAGAGCGTCTGCCACGACGCCCTAATCGGTCGCGTTGCTTCTTGCGACAATCCTTCTCCTCATGACCATAGATCTTGCAGTAGCCACATTGAATACCAGAAGGTGCCCCCGTCACCACAGGAGAGGGCTGAGACGGAGGCGGAGAGACCTGGGGAGGTGTGGCTGCTAGGACGGAGGGCTACGGCGGAACACGAGTCACACCCCCAGCTCGAAGACATGTCTCCTCAGCTCGTAACTCAGGCATCGCCTCTGAGAGCGATGGGCGCGGACGACGAGTCAGCAACTGTGCTCGAACAGTCTCGAACTCGGGACGAAGCCGAGAGAGAAACTCGTGAAGGCGAAGAATGTCTCTCTGGTCCCGGTGACGGTCACAGCACCGGCAAGTACCACCACCGCAGAACTCAGCGCCCAAACTATCCAGGCGATGCCAGACAGTTGTCATCTGACGGTGGAAGTCCTCCACTGTGGAGTCAAGCTGACGAAGCGACTGAGCCTCCTCAACAACAGCAAGGTACATCGCTTCGTTACGAATCTCGTAACTGCGACGGAGGTGAGCCCACATAAGGTGTGAAGTGGCAAGACCTCTAAGGGATAACGAGAGATCGACCTCCATGCTCGCAAGTAAGATAGCCTTAGTAGATTTTTCCTCGCGCAGCCAAGTCTCATAGACACCGAGATCAGACTGGTAGCTCTCCATCTCAGCCTCAAATGCCTCAAGTAAAGCATTCTTGGCATCATCATCAGCATCTGGCGGGTATGTGGGCGGCGTGGGAAGAAGAGGACGGAGAGGACAGATCCGCTCACCCGTGAGGTAGCCCCACAGCAGCTGCCCATCCATGTGGACCTCCATATGGAAAACAAAATCACTCCAATTGGTGCCATTGAAAATGACAGGGCACCGAGGGACCAGAACATGGCCAGGACGTCCAGGAGACGCCATGGAGGAGAGAACGAGCCTCTCTTTTTTTTACAGAGAGGAGAGGAGGACCGGCCGGCTCACTAGCACAAGACCGACGGCTCGCTATACAGGCGCGGACGAAGAGAGGAGAGGGAGACAGAAAGAGTTGAGATGAGAGTGGCAGCAGAGCAACTGCACGGGAGACGAGCCGCGCACGCAGGTGGAGGCGTCCGGCTCGCAGGGCCGCTCGGGAGGGAGCGGGCGCAGAGGGCGGTGCGGTGGCGCGGGAGGGCGGCGCGGTGGCGTGCAGGACCGCGCGAGCGGCGGCGGGCCGACGTGCGATGGCGCGCGAGCGGGCGGCGCGGTTGCGCGTAGGGCCGCGCGAGCGGTCGGCGGGCCGGCGCGCAGGGGCGCGCGAGCGTGCGGCGCGGGTTCGCGACGGCTGCGCGATGCGGTCGGATGGCCGGGGCGGAGCAGCGCGAGGGTGGGATGCGGAGGCCGGCGGGGTTGGGCAGAAATCGCCGGCGTTGCTCAGCAGCCGAAGGTAATGATGGAAACCTAGCTTGATACCATGTTAGAAGTAGAATGAGGCCAACCAACTGTACTGCAAGGCCCAAGAAAACTAGTATACACAATGTACATATGCAAAGAAGCCCTCCAAGTAGAGAAAAAACACATATACCTCCTATACATCTAACATGTATGACATGCACGTTGACACCTGCCACGCACAAATATTTGAGCTGAACATCCAAGACGGTAGGCGCAGCAGCACATGCATGTACAACGTCTCGTGTGAGTGCAGTCTGCAGAGCGATTAATTATTACTTTATATATAAGCGAGAGGAGGGTGAGGGTGCCAATTTATTCTCAAGACAAAGCGTAGTACCTTGGAAGTAACCGCTGAGGTTAATCCTCCCTTCTCCGTTCCTCCCATTCTTTGCATCGCTGAGCTAGCTCCTCGCTGCAATCATGCACAAGAAGTCTATATGAAGCTGGCATTTCCGGCAGCCCCGAGATGCTTGGACAGGAAAGGATTCTCAGGGACTTGAGGGAGACCAGGCTTCGCAGATCTGCAGGAAGTAACAGGAGGTTCGGGTAGTACCCAAAGTGGAGCTCTTGGAGGGAGGTGAGAAGCTGGAGCGCTCTCTCCTGTTCTTCCGTTAGGTTGACCATCTGGCTCGTCCTGTTTCCGCAGAAATCTAGGTATCGTAGAGACGTGAGCTGTTTGCAGAGGGACATTGTAAGGACAGGGGTGTCCCCAAGTATCACAAGTCTTTCCAGTCGAGACAAGACCTCACAGGCCCCTTGCTGCTGCAACAAAAGCTCCATCCATGGAGGTAAGCCAGAGGAGGCAGCTACTGTGAAGGACGTCAGGTTTGTAAGGGACTGGAAGCCCTCGATCGAAGCAAGCGACTCACAATCTCTAATTCTTAACTCTGTCAGTGCCGTGCAGTATCCCAACTGTAGAGATGTCAATTCTGGACTTTCCCGTACTGCTAGTTCAGTTATGGCAGGGAGACAGGATAGCAGACGGGACTGGACATTGTTTGTGAGACTCCGGATCACAAGTCTGGTAATTGACGGAGGAAGCAGTCCAATCTGATTTCCACCCTGTTCTTGCTCCTGTAGCTTTGGATCCCTCTCCCATGCAGCAGATAACGCAGCAGTCATCTCTATTTCCAAGCTTCCAAGAGAGCTGAGCAATTGCAAGCCCTCCAACGCACCCAGCTGTTGACAGCTCGAAATTTTCATGCTTCGAAGAGAGGTGAGCAATTGCAAGCCCTCCAAGGCAACCAGCTGTTTACACCTAGAAATTTTCATGCTTCGAAGAGTCGTGAGGAATCGCAAGCCCTCCAATGCACCAAGCTGTTCACACTCCCAAATTTGCAGATCCTCCAAGGCCGTGCACAAATGGAGCTGTACACACTTAAAAAATGGGCTACCCCCGAGTCTCAAGGATCTGAGGTCGACCAAGCCTTTAGGGGAGTAGGACTGCAAGTTTTCTGGGAGATGGTTAAGAGAAAGCACTCCAAGTGACGACGGAAGTAACCCAACATCCACATTACTAGTATCATCTTTCGTATCCCTCGCCAACAATAGCTGCAGGTTGGGACAATCAAAAATTCTTAGCCCCTTAAGGGACGGTGGGAGTAGTGCAACATCCATGTCATCTTTCGTCCTGCTCACCAACAATGAACCCAGCTTTCGGCAACCATGAATAACTAGTTCCTCAAGAGTGGTAAATCCTCCGAATCCTCCCTTGCCACCATAAAATTCCAGATCTACACATCCAGACAGAGTTAGCTTCTTCAGAGAACAAAGGATGTTACATGGCACTTTCAATAGTGTTTGTTCTTCTGCTGACAACGCCACTGCGGAATACAAACTGCAGCTTCCTTCTGTTTCTGTAGGTTGACTGATCCATAACCATTTTATTTCTGGACAATCATGTAAGCTCAAATGCTCAAGGGACGGCAAATGAGGAAGCATTTTAGTCAGACACAACCCTGATATGCCGGAAGCAGAAATGTTGAGTTCTTTGAGAAATGGGAGGGCAGGCAAGGTTTCCGGTGCTGCCTCTAATGTGGTGGGTGGCTTCAGCAAGTTAGAGCAGTTGTGTATCCTCAAAGACTCTAAACCAGTGAGCTGGCTGAAACTTGCACTTGAAATAGAAATCAATTTTGGACAATTCTCTATGCTCAACGATCTCATGCCCCTAAGATTTTGGAATGCTAAGATCCGGTCATCCAGCACACTCGACTCACTGGATACTATGTTGATCCATCCTCTTTGGCGGCTGCTTATCTTTATTGGTAGTTTTCCTTGGATGGAAATTTTCCGTACATGAGCAGAAGGTGGTAGCGGACGGGAGACCATCAGACTAGGGCAGTCTTGTAGGATGAGTGTATGGAGACTAGATAGACACACATTCTGTTCCTCCAGTGAAGGAGGAGATGGAGGAACCGTCAGCCCGCTGCACCTTTCTAGTCTTGGCATTTTAATCAACTCCAAGTTCTCCAGAGAAGAATGAACTGACAATTCTCTCACAAGATGCAGGTCCATTAACTTCAACGCCTTGAGTTCCGGCATTCCTCCCAGTGGAAGGATTTCCCAGTTCCTGAAATATCATTTATCTAAGTGTGCCAAAATTTGCAAATGCGTACTAATACAATACTATTCAAGCAAAATTAAAGAAGAATACTTACATTACACGAGGACAATAGCAGATGGCCAGTTTGCAGAGCGAGGGAAACCATGACTTTTGCTCGGCATGGAAAGAAGAGTAACTCTGGAAAGGAGTGAACTCGTTCAGTTGAGGGCAGCCCTTGATGATAATTACCCTTAGTTCAGACGTCAATTCCTTCCCATAAGTACCAAGACATTTTTCCAATCTTGGCATCTCAATCAAGACCAACTCTTCCAAAGAAGGAATTGAAATTTCCACCAAGTTCAACATCCTGATCATTGTTAGCTTCCTAAGGAACGGAAGCAATTGAAGACGGAGAAATCTCCATTCCTTGCACTTCTCTAGACGAAGTATCTTCAGCATCTTAATAGACACATTACCGGCAAGCCAGGTTGGTGAGTTAGCGCCCTTGTACCCAGTTATACATAGTCTTTCGAGGTTCTCATGAGGTTGAAGACCCTCAAGCACATCTTCTGTTCTCCTAGCTGCACAAGGATCAAGGACCACACTGATATCATTCCATGATAAGGACAACTTTTGCAGATACTCTTTGTCTATCAGCCTAGCTCCGCTGGACTGTTCTTTGGTCTTCACATTTTCAAGTTGAGAAATTTCAAGAGTTACAAGCTTATTCATGGATCGAAGTTGATTTATATCAAATTCATCATCAATTCGAACCTTGAATTTTAGCCACTGAAGAGAGGTCAACTTGCCGACACCAGCGATTTCTAAGAGCACTTTCTCATGGGGAACAATATTCCGTAAATTAATGAGACTGTTCATACTAGTAGGTACAGAAATATTGCTTCCAATGCCGGCATTGAAGAATTGAAGGTGATAAAATTTTGTCAAAACTTGAGGAAGAACGATATTTTTCTGAGGGTCCACATTTGCCCAAACAAATTCAAGGTAGCGAAGATGACACGGATTTAAGAAACTAATTGTAGGGCTGACATCGTCATGGGTCACATAAATCCTCACGACTCGTAAACTTTTTGACTTCATACACAAAGTGTGTAGGAACCTTAATAAATGTATGCTGCTTCTGCCGAAAACCATCAAGGTCCTCAATTTTTCTGAAAACCCAACATTCTCTAGTATGTTCTGAAACTTCTCACAGGGGATACTGCAATGTCCATCTTTCTCATAAGCAGTAGTTATGATTGACAAATGGCGAACACTAGGTTGGAAGTCCGTAGAGTTGGATCCATTTATAGTGGCACACTCATTTAGCGAAACCATCTGAGCCAATTCATGCATTAGGTCATGCAAGACATATTCCGAGTCAACCTTTTGGAAAAAGCCAAAATCCACTAAGTTATCCAAATATTGCATCCCTGTTTCCTCCAATCTCTTGGTAGAGTCTTGACACTGCACAAAATTTTGTGATATCCAAATACGGACCAAATTTCCCCCATTAAATCTATAGCCCTCTGGAAACAGAGAGCAGTATGAGAAACACTGCTGCAGGTGGACCGGTAAAAAATCATAACTGAGCTTCAAGATAGGTAAAATATCATCAGTATCTTCTTGAAGAGATTTCCATTTGTTTTGAACTGTCCTCCAGTGCTCGTAGCCAACATTTCTGCTCAAAAGTGCACCGACACTTCGTGCAGCTAGTGGACAACCCTTTAGTGCTATAACAATCTGCTGCCCAATGGACTGCAGACTAGGATGGCCCTCATGGCTGTCATTACCAAATGCACATGCCTTGAAGAAAAGCCAAAATTCTTTTTCATTCAGACCTTTAACTGATATCGGATCCATCGTTCCTATCATTTTTGCAACTGATGGTCTTCGGGTTGTTGCTAAAATCATGCAACCAGGTACATGATTGTGTTTTAAGGGAGCTAAAAGGCTAAACCATCCTCTCCTGTCCTTTTCCTCCCACATGTCATCAAATACAAGCAGGAATCTTTTGTTTTCAAGATTCTTCAGAAGGATATTCTGCAGCACGCTGAAGTTAGTACAAGCAGTGATTCTTTCGTACTGCTGTCTATCTGTACATGCATACTCCAAGATCTCACGTGTTAGCCTCACTTTGTCGAAGTTGGTCGATACACAAACCCACATTCGCAAATCAAAATGGTCTTCGACTCTTTGATCATTGTACACAAATCTGGCAAGAGTTGTCTTCCCAACACCACCGATGCCAACTATAGGCAGAACTTGTAGGTCTTCAGATTTCCCATTTATTAACAGCTCTATTATCTTGTCCCTCTCCGCATCCCTTCCGTATACCTTGTCTTCAATTGGAACAGAAGTTGTCAGACGTGTGTTCATGGCCACATACTGATTCTGGTTTCTCATTGCAATGGGGTTTGAGATCTCTAGATGAAGAACCTCCCGCACAGAATTGCCAAGCTTGTGTAAACAATTTACTATCCCCTTGATCCTCTCAGAAATGTCAGGTTGAATATCATAACGCAGCATGGTGCAATGACTTGGCTCCTCCTCTCTCTTCCTTTTTCCTCCATGCAAGGCCGAACTAATAACTCGGCTCGCAGTACTACATGCTCGTTGAAAAATAGTTGGAGTGGAAGAAGACGCAGGCCTCTTCTCAGGATTCGTACAACCATCCCCTGCGTAAGCAAATTGGCAGTTGTTATGCGAACAAGCAAAAGAAAGGCACTTAAGAAAAAACAGCCATTACTTTGAAACAGCTAACAATTGGCGCAAGTTAAGGCATGTGAAAAGGAACCACATTTTTTTCTCGAGCACGCATGAGAACTGCACATCATTATATTAAGATAGAAGAAACGATCCGATTACAAGCCGAATCCACGGCATGGGTTAGTTTTTTTTTTGACACATTAGCACCCTTTGAAGATCTAAAAGAAACCACAATTAACCAAGAGAGATAAAGTCAGTAGCAGGATAAACAGAAGACTAAGTAGGCGTGACAATTTGTAAAAGGCAGAAGTAAGGCAAGAAACATGGAACACTAGTACAGGACATCCATGATCTGAGTGAGGTACCTTGTTCGATCTGTTGTTGGAGGCGATAGTAGTCGAGCTCGTCCATCACATCTTCGGCATCATAAAGCAGCCCTTTGAGGTCACCCAGGGACCGGGCCAGTGGCTTGTTGTCAATCCTCCTCCCCTCGGCTGCAGCAAGCACCATCTGCACGTTCCTCATCTCAGACTTGAGGTTCTCCACATCTTCGTCAAGCCCAACACCACGAGCCCAGGCTTCGATCTGTTCAGTGAAGAGGCTCCCAAGGATGGTTTGCACCAGCCACCCTATGGAAGCATCCACCACCCCCATCATCTCTCAGTGAGGAAGCAGGAAGAGGGCGGAGAGACTGGTCTTGTTTGCTGAATAGCTTTGCGGTATAGTACAAGACAATGGATGGGATGGGAGGTTAGGTGCACAGCTGCACTAATATCTGAACTCAACGCTGCTCAATGGTAATGATGGCCACTTCAGTGAATGACATGTAGGTCCACCCGACTCAATGACATGTGGGCCCAGTGACAAAGGAGCTGTGGCCTCCAAACACTAGGTCGTGATGTCACCTACCCACCACTACTAGTTGTCCCTCGTAGAGCAGCTGCCTGTGATTCTGCAATGAAGTTACTTGGAAGCTGCCTGAGTGAGCTTGGTGGATCGATAACCCGGAGAACTGGTCCTCACTATAGCTTAAAGTCATTATGTTTCTGAGAACACATGCGAAGACGCCCAGAAACGAAACGACGCGCGCGTGCATCAGTGCGAGGCACCGGACCGGCGCCGCGTGAAGCAGTTGGGAGTGAGTGAGCATGAGATGGAGGGAGGGAGAGAGTTCACAAGCTCAGCACTTGAAGTAAATTACCTGTCAATGGCTGGCCGTTCGCGCGGCGGCTGCGTGGAATCCGGACGGGGAGGGGGCGCCGGAGCGGAGTCAGGACGTTGAAGTCGACGAGACAGCGCCCGAGCAACGCACCCCGCTCTCCTCCTCCTCCTCCATCGATTAGCTCTCTGTGCCAGACACGGGCAGCGAGGTCGCCTAGAATGGATCACTGAGGTCCCAGACCACAATGATGGTGTAGGAGAATCGCAATTCTCAGACAGTTCAGCTCCGTCCTCTCTCTCTCTCAAAGAGAGAGAGAGAGAGAGAGAGAGAGAGAGAGAGAGAGAGAGAGGACACTTCAGCTCCGAAACCGAAACCTTTGAGATAGGATAGGAGTATCTGCTTGCTATCTCAAACAAGTTCTGAAACTATCGCTGAGATCCAGCAGTAGCAATCAAATCAAATAGTAGTAGAGGCCTGGAGGGCCTCAGGGCGCTGGAATTCTTCCCGCGTTGATGACAAAAAAAAAAGTTCTAGTTATTATACCATGTGGTCTTTTGGTTTTCCTTAGCTACATAAATATAAATATACATTTTTTTTACCAAGAGATCAAATCCTGTGTAACTATTGACTTGGGGGTCTATAGTTGAACTGAACCTGATTTATTTTTTGAACTCGTTTCTGAAACTGAAGTTGGGCTCAAGAGATGCCATCAGGAGGGTAGGGAACTAGGGATTATATATCCAATCCCATTTAAGCTAGGTCAGTGATATTCCACTCTCAGTTTACCAAACTTTTTTAATTAATCGGGGTCAGTTAAACACGCCTAGCTAGATCCGCCCCTGCTCACGGTTGATGGTGAGGTTTTGTTATTTCTCAATTAAACTATGGCTGAGATGCTGACCAAACTCTATCGACGATGACAAGGGTCATTAACAACAAGCCAATTCTATTTTATTTGCAGACGAGACAACAAGTGCAACACCACAGCCGCGTCATCCATGATCTGTGGCAGTAAAATCCACACCGTCTCTGCATCCATTCGTCGTCCCTCCTGCAAATTAAAATTCCTGACGACGACGTAACCCGTGACGGAACCGCTTTGGCGCGGGTCACCAGACCAAACCAAGCCTCACCATCGCAATCTCCTCCTCCATTCAACCTCGCTCCTGGCGTTCTTGCGTGAGTTCACTTGGCGGCTCTGCTCCTCTCCTGCTTCTCTTCTGTGAAGAGCGAGCCAATGGAGGAGGAGAGCATCACTTCGCCATTGCTGCAGGAGGAGAAGGTGTACCACCCGGGCTGCCCGGGCTGTGCCAACGACCGGAGGAAGGAACTCCAGGAGGGCCTGCCGTACAAGGAGTTCTTGTATGTCTGGATCATCTGCCTCGCGACTTGTAAGGGGTTTCTCTGTCCTCCCTCTCCCTGCATGCATGCCCTTGTGTATGTCTCTTGGTGTTGTATGAAAGTTTCTGTTTTTATGCGCCCATAACTGTCTAATTTGGTTATTTGGGGTGATCAGATATTCAGTTGTAGTACCAACAGCATAGTCCGGGCAGTTGCCCATATGAGAGCGGCATCACCGGTAGTACCAGTACCAGTACTAGCTAAAAAAAGGCCCCTGCTTACATAGTCAGGGATACTTTCCTGTACATGCACAATGACATGTAGACTCATTTGTCAACATGTGGACTCAGTTATGAAAAATTATGCACAAACTCTCTAAAATCTACTTAAACACCAAAATATCAATATTCACTATAAAAAAAATCTTAGGACGCACCCCAACTCATTTCAGAGGACAGAAAAAATGTTGCCTCCGTTAATGCATAGAGACGCACAAGCAACACCTGCATCTATAAAAGGATTTTCAGAGGCAAGGGACTAAAGAAGCCTACCTCTAAAAATCGATGCGGGCCTCTTCATCCATCCGCCTCTGAAAATATCCCAGACCATTTATATTAACTAAGCCTATCCCTTTAAAGAGTTTTATGAATAACTGAAAGGTGCTAGAATTAGCCTTAGTGGAGAAAATTAATAAATATAGCCATAATCACATATTGATCTGGAAGCATTATTGGTAACTCTGTATTTTAACATGCACCTCATTGTATTCTTTTTGCACACATATATATAATTGCATATTTAATACTTCATATTTCTCCTGCCTATAATTTGTCAGCTTTACCGGTGTCATCATTATTCCCCTTCTTGTATTTCATGGTACGTATTTCATCGTGTCCTCTTACCCTAATAACTAAAGATATTTTTTGGTTACTCAACAGTAGTTGCTAACTAATATTATATAGCACTTGATCTGTAAAGATTATTTGATCCATTCATGTTTTATCATACATATACATGCACAGGTCACTACCCAAAACAACAGATTTGCCGAGTGCAAACATTTTTGCCGAGTGCATTTCATCGAGCACTCGGTAAACAAGTTTTTTGTCGAGTGCTGCAAAAAACACACTCGGTAAAATAATGGCACGCGGCAAACAATCTATTTGTCGAGTGCTGAAAAAAACACCCGGCAAATTAGGACAAAACACTCGGCATAAGATTGGCACTCGGCAACAAACCGCCTTGTGGACATCCGTCAGTTAGTGTGCCGGGCGTTAGTACTTTGCCGAGTGTCCGTTAGTGGCACTCGGCAAAGAAATAAGTTTACCGAGTTTTTTTTTGCACTCGGCAAAGACATAGGTTTGCCAAGTGTTTTTTTTTGCACTCGGTAAATAAATAAGTTTTTTTTCTCTTCTGACCTTGAAACTTTTTCTACTCTCCACATACAACATGTGGTGCTCCATGTTAAGATTTGATATATTTCTCAATCTGTTTGTTATATTTAATTAATTTATTGCATTTAAAGGAATTTTTTGGTATAAGTCAAATTTGAACTGCCAGTGATTCAAATAATAGAATAAAATGAGTAGAAAAATGATATTCATGTTATTGAGTCCAGTGTGAGGCCTTATCCGGGAAATGAAAGGAAATTTCGAACATCTTGTTCAGGAAACACGATCACGAACGTGTGGCCGAATGGTTTTTAAATTCTAAAAAAAAGCAAACGAAGTCCGAAAATCATGAGATTTGTCAAGATCTCATGATATCATATGTGGAGGCTGTGGTAAAAAATTGAAAAGGTTTTGCACAATTTGTCTCATATGATGGTTACAAACCAAAGCATCTCCAAGAAAGAATCGTAGCGTTGAGAAGGATTCGGTAAGATTTAGAGTCAAAGTGACGATCGAATTAGGGTTTGACTTCAAAATTTTTTATATAGGCAATAGAGAACATAGATTGTTACATGTGAAATTTTGATAATTTTTTGGATCCGTTTTATAATTTTAATTTATTAAGTGCAATTAAAGATTTTTAATTGATATAAATTAAATTTGAGCCGTAACTGCTTAAAATAATGGAATAATATTCTTAGAAAAATCAAATATATATTGTTGAGTGAATTTGACAAGGTATTTTCAAAGTGCATTAGAACAAATTAAGAAAAACACGTCCCAAAAAAGAAGGACAGGAAGAAAAATGAAAAAATAGGTTTGCCAAGTGCCCATTATCTGGCACTCGGCAAAGCTAGCGTTTGTCGAGTGCCAGATCTGAAACACTCGGCAAACCCCTCACCGGTCCCACACACGCACAGTAGTTTAGGGTTTGAAAATGAAAAAAAACAAATTATGTTTGCCGAGTGCCCGTGATCTAGCACTCGGCAAACCTAGGCTTTGTCGAGTGCTAGATCACGGTCACTCGGCAAACCTCTTGATAACCACCCCGGGCTCACCCACCCACACGCACACACACAGCCACCGCACGCACACACGCACACACACCACACGCACACACACATCCCGCCGCCACCCCTTGCCCCTAGCGTCCCACCGTCGGCGCCCGGCCCCGGCCGCCGGCCTCCCTGCCCCCCGCCCCCGGCCGCCGCCGCCCTGTGCCCCCGACCGCCGCCGCCCCAGGACCCCGCCGCCGCCGCTGCCCTCCCCCCGGCGCCCTCTACTCGATTTGGTACTTCTCACATTTGAATGACTTACATGTTAGTATAGCTGAAAGGATCAAGATGTCCAAGAGGGGGGGTGAATTGGGCTAATTCTACATTTTCTTGCAATAATTAAATCCTATTGATAGCCCAATTAACCCTTTATGCCTAGAAAGTGTTTCTAATGTTCTATTACATAAAAGGACTTACAACCTAAGTTCCAATCCTACTCTAGCATGGCAATTTTAGGAATGTAAATGACAAGAATTGAATTGCTCAACGTAAATGCTCAAAGTAAAGAGAGGAGAGGAAATGCGGTGATGTTTTGCCGAGGTATCGGAGAGTCGCCACTCCCCACTAGTCCTCGTTGGAGCACCCGCGCAAGGGTGTAGCTCCCCCTTGATCTGCGCAAGGATCAAGTGCTCTCTACGGGTTCATTCTTCGACACTCCGTCGCGGTGAATCACCCACAACCGCTCACAACTTGAGTTGGATCACCCACAAGCTCCGTCGGGTTATCACCAAGCTCCCAATCACCACCAAGCCGTCTAGGTGATGGTGATCACCAAGAGTAACAAGCACGAACTCTCACTTGACCACGCGAAGCCTAATGAGAACGGTGGATGCACACTTTGCTACTCTTGATTCACTAATGAGGCTACTCTTTTGGATTCTCAAATCACAAACACCTCATTAGGACCTTGCTCTTCTTGGCACTCGCAAACGTGTTTCTCAGCTGTTGGAATGAGCAAAAGTGACTCCACACACGAGTGGAGCTTCTATTTATAACATGGGCTGAAAAACGAACCGTTATGTGCCTCTGCGGGGTGACCGGACGCTCCGGTCAGTTCAACCCGCACACCAGTGTTTAAGTGTTGACCAGACGCTGGCAGGGTCCGATCACCACTGACCGGACGCGTCCGGTCGTAAATATCCCTCACTGGAACCTTACTGTACTCAACCGGATGCTGAACCCTCAGGGTCCGGTCAGCACTGACCGGACGCGTCCGGTCACAGATTCTCTTCTCTAGAACCTTACTGGAGTCGACTGGACGCTTGCCCTCAACGTCCAGTCACTTGACCTCTCCAGCGTCCGGTTAAACCGGACTAGTTCATCTCAGTCAAATGAACTGACCGGACCCTGCGGCCAGCGTCCGGTCGCACCGGAGCCAGCGTCCGGTCAGTCTTTGACCCTCCATTCACTTCCAACTCTCGATCATATGTGAATGAAGTTTGCTCCATAAGATCTAAGGACTGTTTTGGAGCTACCTAGTGCTAGACTTAGCAAGTGTGCACCACACCTAACTCACTAGACTCACCTAGGTCAAGCTACCCGTCCATACCCCCCTTAATAGTACGGCCAAAGGAAAAACAAAGTCCCAAACTACTCTAAGTGTCTCTCCAACTCCAATCGACACTTAGAACTAGTTATCCTTAACCTTGTCGTCCATCCTTTGAAAACCGAAACGATTTCCATCGTAGGGGCATGACATCCATGATTGCCCAATCGATCTCCATTACCATGACCTAACTTAATTGCTTCTACAAAATACACGTTAGTCACAGTAATCTTGTATTGTCATTAATCACCGAAACTCAACTAGGGGCCTAGATGCTTTCAATCTCCCCTTTTTGGTGATTGATGACAATACCACCTCGAGTATGTGAAAGAGTGAGGTTTTTGATATGCTTGGTTTATATAAGCTTTTGTCAATAAGAGCAAAAAGGGTTAGGCAAGCTTATATGACCCAAGCCAACACAATGTACTCAAAGGATATGAATTAAGCATGAGTACAAATAACAGACCTCATTCGCATCGGAGTATAAACGCGGAAGCAAGGCAAATGAGCATACCACAAGTAATATGACATATAAGTAGTTATGAAATAGAGAGCACACATGTCATATATCACAGTCATGTAGATATCACTATCACATAGATATAGTTTAATGCATAAAAGTAAACACACGAATGCATAGTAATAATAGTGTATCACACAAATAAAACTCCAAAAGTATATAATAAAAGCTAATAACGGATAACTAGCTCCCCCTAAATGTCGCTCCCCCTGAGTCTACATACACGAACCCTCTCCCCCTTTGGCGTCAAACACCAAAACCTAAGGGTCGGTCGGCGGGGCTGCAGCGGACGACTCAGGAGCTGAGGTACGAGGTGCAAGCTAGAACTGAGCGCCATCATCGTCTGACCCTGAGCTCTGAACGGACTGACCCTCTGTAGCTGGTAGTGTCGCTGAATCTGTCTAGGTCTAAGCTAGGGCAGGTGCTGCCTGAGAAGCTGCTGGTACATCTGTAGGATCTGAGGAAGCAACTGAAGAAGGGAGCCTCTGTGTCGTCACGGCGACTGGAGCTGTAGTAGAAGGACCCGGGGAATGCATATGAGGCGGTGTAGGCATCCCTGTCAACTCGCTGAAAGAAGCTCCAAGACTCCTGGAGACTGACATGTCAGGCACAAACAACGAAGATGACTGATCCGGTGTGAAGCCCGTCCGAAGTGGTGTGAACTGCGGGGCTACCACTGGCGAGGATAACCACTAGGACACTTGTACTGTGGGAGAAGCAAACTGAGATGGAGGCTGTCCCAGACTCTGAAGCCCACTGGGCTGTACTGCTGGAGTCATCATAGTGGTGGCAGGCTGAGCAAGCTAGGGCGAAGGCTGTGGCTGTGGAGCCCCAAGTGCTCTTACTACATGCTGCATAAATCCCATAAGCTGCTGCTGCATGAGTAACTGCTACTGATGCATCTATTGCTGCTGCTGCTGGAGGACCTGCTGCTGGCGTTGGAACTCATCCTGACGAGCCTAAAACTGTGCGAAGTTGGCAGTGGTCTCCTGAGCATTTCGTGCCTGATCCTGTTGTATCCGCTCAAGGATAGCAATCAAAGCGGGGTCCATCTACGGTGCAGGTGGAGCGGAGCTGGAACTGCCAGCCTCTGCATCATGTCTGCGTGAAGGCATCTGAGGAATAGGCAGGTAGTCATCGTCTGAGCTGTCACTAGGCTCGCTCACCTCCTGCTGTTCCTCAAGCTGCTCCTCCTCAGTAGCGGCTATGCCTCTGATAATCTCGTCCTACTGAGCTGCGGACTCTGGTACATCTAGACGACGGCGAGGCTGAGTGGGTGCCTGTGGTGTGCTATGCCTGATCCTCTGTGCCATGTTATAAGCTGGAAACTCTGTGGTGGCACCTCTGTACTCTGCAACCATCTC